CGGACTTCCGCGAACCTTTAACCGCTGGTGGCAGCGCTGAATACAGACAAAGTTCTCACAGCTTTACTGATGGATCGGCTCCTCATGACCAGGTGGAACGGGTGCCGGTACGCTATTCAGTCTGCGCTCCGAATACTGCACCCCTAGTAAATCGTTGCAGACCATCTAGTGTATCATTCGAAAATGTACATAAGAGCGGTCTCGTGGATAGTCAAGTTCTGAATTCGAACGGCAGTAGCTTCAGTATAGCTCGGAGTCACGCGGTGGAGAACGCACGATTCGCCGATTATGTCCCGGCGACCACTTTAGACAGTGACATAAGGTGGAAGCGCCAGTCGAACCCAGTGGAAATAGACCACGCTCTACCGACTGTCTTTAAAGAAACGGATGATGAACCGAGTCCAGTAAGTTTGGTCGCTTTGGGATTTTGATCATTTTTACGATCGTTAATTGAGTGAAAAATGCTTCATTTGGAAGGTTTGCACATATAAAATATGACGCCACTTTATACTGCTGCTTAAAAATTGCAAACCTACAGACTATAATGCTTATTTCTTCACATAGCTTGAATTCAATGTAAGACAAAGTGTTGTATAGTGCACTTAGTTTTATGGCGGTTTCTTTTATAGTCCATTTCTAGTTTTTTGCTTTTAGTACCGAACTAAATTTCATAATGTATGAACTTTATGAGATTGGGTAACCTCTTTTTTCGAACTAGCTCAAAACAGTGGATTCGTACAAGTCGCTGAAATCTTCAACGCTTATGCAAAAAAAACTAAAATGGCAATATGTAAAGGATTGCCCGATGTGGAATGATGATAATCACCGTTATTACAGGTCAAACAGAACCGCCTCTTTCTGGAGGAAAACAAACTTTTGCATCAAGGACTGGACAAAGCAAATCGTTTGGTCAACTGGTACAACGAGAGGCTGGCAAATCTAACGACACGACAAAAGCTCATTGCAAGAAATATCGTACCAGTGGTGCGTAAGTCGTAATACGAAATCGAACGACTGTACGACTGGGTGCTGTTTCCAGCCGATAAAGAACTTTCTTTTCAGAACTGGGCAATTTTGGAAGCCAAGGTAAATTCCTTGAGGATGCTGATTAAAGAGACGAATCGACATGCGGTTGTTTTAATGGAATCTTCGGAGAAAGTATGTCGCTTCGCTACCGTCAACACGACTTAACCGGCGCCTGTCTAGGGGTTTCCTCTTTGTGATAAAAACTTAAGTAGCGTCCTTCAGCCTACTGAAGACCAAATGATGTGGCTTAAAAGACAAAACCAGCTGCTGACAGAGGTAAGTCATGCATTGCTCAATTTTGGTTTTTCACGTTATACTATTTTAATTATGAGGTCACTGAATCGTAACAGCCAGAAAACGCCGATTTTAGACGTCAAATGTTTTCAATACGCAATTCCTCCAGTTGAAATAGCATTAAGCGATTCAGTTGTACACAAACAAAATTCTGTTGCAATGTGAAAACTAAAACACGTACCATTACTCGAACTGTTCCAGCCACCGATGTATAACGACTAAAATAAACCGCGGATAAGATAGTCTTTCTGTGCATGTTTGCAATATGCCGTGTTTAATCTCAGCCGCTAGCAAGGAATTTGCTACGTAATACTTCAGACCGGAGTTGCTAAGTCGTTATCGCGTCACACTCAGAACTGAGAGATTCCGGGTTCGAGCCGCGATTGGGGCCATTCGCTTTTCTTCCTTCGGAGGTTGATAAATCTGTGGTTCTCTGTAGGAAGGAAACAGAAGAGTGCGCACTCTATTTGCCCTATGGCTGCTGTCCACTTTGCATTTAAACATATTACAAGGCATACTTGCTGATGATATGGAATTGAAATCAGTGCTTGCTCATTGACTTCTCGAGAAGAAATGCATTAGAAATGGCTCCATCATGAAAGTATAAGGAAGATCAACATTCCAGTGGGCACGAACTTTAATCCCTTTTTCCTTTTTGCACTGAGGTCCTCTCTGGCGATATTGACACCATGTTTCAACAAGGCGCTGATAAACGATTGCCTGCAATCATAGTAAAATATCTGTTGTTGTCATCTGATACGTTTTACGGTACTTAGATGACTATGACCTGCAGTTTTATGCACTGCTTATTAAGAAGTCAAACTAGGATTCGTTTGGTTCGCGTACCTCCTTGACAAAAGTATCTGCGCGTTTAATCCTATGAAGCAAAAAGATATCAGCGCCAGTAGCAAGCAATCTGCTGTGGCTTAACCACCAAGATACCTTTTTGCACTCCAGTGTGTAATGGACCTGAGATCTGTTATGACATCTAGAGTATGTTCCTTAATCTCTGTTTACTCTCCAAGGCAGAAATCCTACAAGTTTTAAGTGCTTTTGTACCATGGTAGATTTATTACTATACCCTGATGACGTTCATTGTGTATTTCGAGCGCCACGTTGTTCCTCTAAGTTACAGATGGTCTTCTACGTACTTTGTTTTCTTGTCTGAATAAAATGACAAGTGCAAAACTGGGGTTTACAACAGTTACGATTAACAAGTTATTGCATGACTAAACGAACTATAATGAATCTTTGAACAATTCATGGTTCGGGGCACCAAATCCAACAGATGGTAAAAGTCTTTAATGCCAACGCGTTTCACTACAAACTTAAGGAATGTCAGCCCAAACGGACCTTTGGTAGTTATACCATTTATAACCCAGGTGTCTCAACGCATTGCGAGATACCTTAACAACTTCGGGTTTAGGATCCACTACAAGACTGGCCG